TATATATATATATATATATGCCTATATTTATACATATTATAGGCCATTTCTGCTGTACACTATTCTCAAGAAGCTAAAGAGAGTTGGAGTCAATTAATTCGCAGCATATCATCACAGACTGCCACCTGGAGCCGAGCGAGAAGAACGACAGAAGACAAAAGTTTGTCTAAATTGTGCTGCGGCAGTTTGTTACAAAACCTTCTCAAGCAGCAGTAATGCCCCGATCTCGAGAACCCAGTATAATATCCGAGAAAGAGTTGTTGTCCTTTTTTACCCTGTTCGCAAGTCAATGTTTTTTAATTTGCCTTTGTAGATGCAAAAACCTAAATAACAGGCCTTGTCTTTACTTGGATCTTTTCTACACAAACTATTCAAGAGGTTTTTCCCCCGTGCTCTTCCCCCAACCAGTCCCATCAGAGTGTATAGGGACAAATAAAACAGTTTCTTGCCGGAATTTTGTTTGCAAGGGAAATGAATTATGAAAGCATTCTCTTGAAACGCCTGAGAAAGCCGTTTTCCTTTTAAGCGCATGCCCGACCGAGTTGTTCTTTGGTTTGTTTTGATTGCATAGTGAATAAAGACATTATTTTAAAACGTTTTACTTGATAAGATGTTTTCCTTTTTGTTGAAAAAAGGAAACAACACAAATCGATCTCATGCGGGCGCTCTTCGGAACTCTCTGCCTCGGCTGCTGCTGCCGCTCAGACAGCGTCAGTGCTGCTGCTACTGCAGTAGCGTTTGCGCCTCTGTGGGAAAAGTAGTTTCTTATTATTTTTTTAATTGATTTGTTCATTAATTACGCTGGGAGCCGAACAACAACAGCAGAAACAGCAGCAACAGCAGCAGCAGCGGCAGTGACGACTGCAGCAAACAGCCCGTGACCGCCGTGCGTGGCGACCGGGCTGCCTTTTCCCATTTTCTTACCTTTCAACCTTCTCTGTTTTTTTGGTTTAAACTCTATATGTCGAATCCTCAGAAGTTATTGAATTTATGAGGCTGGGGCCGCCTTTGGATTCGACTGCGCAAGGGGCGTTCGAGATAGTTGCTCCAACAGCCGCAGCACCAGCCGCTGCAGCAGCCGTTTTGCGTTTGCCCTTCTCCGGAGCAGGAGGCGGCTTCTGCAACCTTTTTTTTCTGTCAGCTTATCAGCGTCTACAGCAGCAGCAGCATCAGCAGCAGGAGCAGCATCGGGGGTAACAGAAGCAGGAGCGTGAGTCGTCTCGACTCTGCCGACGGCAACAGCAACTCCATCTGCAGCAACAAGAATCCTGATTGTGTCTGCGTGCGCGCTTGCTGCTACTGGAGCAGCAGCAGCCGTTGCCGCCAAAGGAGCAGCACCTAGAGAAGGAACTGCTGCTGGTCGCTATGGTGCGCACTTGTTTTGACTCTAAGGCCCTCAGCTCTTCAGAATCTTCTTCTTCTCTCCCAAACTCCGAGGAAGATGCATCAGATGTGCGGCAGGCCCCACGTGCGGCGGCAGGAACAGCAGCAGCAGCACCAGTTGGTACAGATGAGTGTCCTGCGTTGCTGCCCATGACGGAAGAAGATTTCGTGCTTCTTGACCGCCTGGAACGCCGCGTAGATGCGCAGAGTTTCGCCACTGTCCTAAAAGCATATTTAATAGTGCGCAACAGAGTTGCAGCAATACGAGCAGACAGAGAATTCAAACAAAATCAGTTAGGCCTCCCTGCCGCCAAGCAAGGGCACGGGGGCCCCCACACGGGGTGCCCCCCTTCGGGGGGCCCCTCCTCTGGAGGCCCCGCATCCGCAGCAGCAACAGCACCAATAGCGCCGTTGAAGAAATGCAGCAGTCGCGTTGCGTTGATGAATGTGCACAGACACCGCAGCGACTCGTTGGGCCTCCATGAAATGGGGGAAGAGCAGGAGAAGCAGAAGCCGCGTTTGATTCGTCGTCTATGGCTGTTTAGAAAGAACAGCAGCGAAGATCAGCCCTCCAACAACAGCAGCAGCCCAGCAGCAGCAACAGCAACAGCAGAGTATCCTAAGAGCATGAAGGCGTGGGAGGCGAGCAGCAACGACCTGCTGGAGCAGCGGCTGTCTTTTCTTGGGTGTCGCAGCGTGACTTCTGTTGGAGACGGAAATTGTCAGTTTCGGTCTTGTGCTTTAAATCTGTTTGGTAGCGAGAGGTTTCATATGCTGGTGCGGCGCGAGGCGGTGGCGCAGATGCAGAGACAGCGTGAGGTGTATGCGCAGTTTTTCGAGAGCCCCCAGCTCCTAGACCGCTATTTGCGTGATATGAACAGAAAAGGAACATGGGGTGATGAACTGTCTCTACGTGCAATTGCGGATGCCTTCTGCTGCTCTATTCACCTCATCACTTCAACTCCTTCTAGCTGGTACCTCCGCTACGACCCAGAGAGAGGAGGAGAAAAAGTGCAGCCCAAGCGACACCTCTTCTTAACTTATATCTCCCCTATACATTACAATGCGTTTGCCCTGAAAGACACGAAATGTGCAGCAACAGCAGCAGAAACACCCAACACAGAACACATGTAAACCATACAGAAACTGCTGCAGCTGCCGGGGCTGTTGCAGCTTGCTGCGCCAAGAACAGCACACGGCAGCAGCAGAAGGATCAGCCTGGAAGCAGCAGCAAACAGCGCTAGACTTCGCGAAGCGAGCTGTACAGACGGCGCAAATAAGAACCCCGCAACCATCTTTTTTGCGCATCTATCCCGAAGGCCGTTCAAACAAGAAGTGCACAGATGGCTGCTGTAGTTACTGCTGTTCTTGCTGCTGCTGGTGTTGCTGCTAGTGCTGCTGTGGCTGCTGCTGTTAGCGCCGGTGCTGCTCCGACAGAGACAGCGACTACACAGAAGTGCAGGAGGTTGTCGTTGCTGCTTGGAGCGAACGGTTGTCAACAACAGCTCCCACTGCTGCCGCAGCCCCCCTTCTGCTCCTGCTGCTTGTTCTGCTGCTGTGCTGCTGCTGCCGCTGTGCTGCAGCCGCCGCTGTGCTGCTGCTGCTGCCCCCTTGTGTTCCGTGGAGTGCTGCCGTTGCCTAGGGCGCTCGTCGTGTTCCTCCGCATGCATGCCTTGCCGCTGGCATAGCTAACTGCCTTGCTAGCCATCGATCTCGCCGTCTTGAGTAGCTGTATAGCTGGCTGTCTAGCTAGCCGTGCAGCTAGCTGTCTAACTAGCCGTCTACCGAGCTATCTATCTAGCAATCTAGCTAGCCCTCTAGGAAGCTGTCTCGCTAGCCATATCGGTGGCGGTCTAGCTAGCCGTCTAGCTAGCCATCCCGCGTCACCGTGTCCGGTGTGCCTTCACAAGCCCTAAAATTGAAATAGTTGAAAGACAGTGAATAACGGCGAAGTAAGAAGAAGATTAAATGCTAAACTAGCTATTCCTCTCCACTCGCAGAGAAAGCAGAGGTTAGCTAGCTAGCTAGCTAGCCGCACCTGAGGCTCATGCTCAACTTCAAGGAGCCTGCAGGGTCGTCAGCCCCTTGTAGAGGAGACCGAGACCCGACAGATTTGAACTCATGTTCGGGTCTCCAGCCATTCCAATCGAACGCACTGCCAACAGCGGCACTCTGAAAAACAGAGGCAGCAGCAGCAGCAACAAAAACAGCAGCAGCAGGCAAGCATAAAAAGTCAATCAAAGATAGCCGCGGGATATTAACGGAAGCCTGGGGGCCAACGCACGTTGCGGGGACATCAATGCAACGAAGCACGAAGCAGCAGCAGCAGAAACCAGCAAAGCTATGCTAGCAGCTGAAGGTTGTCGGAGGCCGTCCAAACTGCAACAGCAGCAGCAGCAGCCGAAGCCTACGCATGCGCTGAATCCACTGCAGCGAGCAGCAACAACAGTGGTACCATCAGAAACAGCGGTACCAGCAGCAGGGACAGCAGCATTAGCAACAGCAGCAGCAGTTCTAGTGTGGACTTGCTGTCTGAGTACGACGTGGAATTCTCCAGGAAATCTTCCCTCGGTGATGGCCGCAACATTCGGCAGAAACTCCTGCAGCCGCAACAGCAGCAGCTCGTTGGGCAGTACTTGCTGCTGCGAGCTCCACTGCAGCGCCAAACACAAATCGGCGCAGTCGTCGCTCATTTTGCTGCCAGCATCAGCAGCAGTTGCTTCCGCTGCTGCGGCTGTTGCTGCGGGTGCTTCGGTTGCTGCTGGGGCGCCTGCAGAGGAAGCTTGTACTGCTGCCGCTGCTGCAGAGGAGGCATCCGCTGCTGCCGCTCCTGCTGCTGCTGCTGCTTCTGCCGAAGAGCAGGCTTGTGCTGCTCCCTCTGTTGCTGCTGCTGCTCCCTCGGTGCTGCCTTCACCGGCAGGAGCGCTGCTCACTGCACCTGACGGTGCTCCCTGCAGCAGCAGCTGTTGCTGCTGCTGTTGGCGTCGCTTGAGTTTGAGCTCGTGTAGTATCTTGAAGGCGCAGCAGTCTGCATGCCTTTCTCTGTATTGCTTCCGCACCCGCAACCCGCATCCCAAAGAGGCGTGGCGACAACTAACGAACTTCTGCATATTCCGGTACCTACGCATAAACCCTAAACCCTAAACCCTAACCATAAACCCCTACCCCTAGACCCTAGGCCTTAAACCCTAAACCTTCAATCCGAAGCTCGAAAACCTTTACTCTAAACCCTTTGCCTTAAACCCTGAGCCCTAAACCCTAATACCTCATCCATGAACGCTAAGCTCTAAGCCCTAAACCGTAAGGCCTAAACCCCAAACGCTGGGCCGCGCTGCAATGCCGGCACCAGCCTACAGAATGGCAGCGGCGCGAGCAAGCCACCACTAGCAGAAGCAACAGCACCAGCAGCAGCAGCTGCTGCTGCTGCAGCAGGTTGACCGAGTGCATCTAAAGCCCAGCTGTACCTGCAGCGCGGCTCGTGTTGCTGCAGCAACTCCTCAATGCCGCGAACTCTGCAGCCGGAGAGATAATGCTGGCAGCAACGGACAGCAGGATTGAAGCGGCACCGGTTCTCATGAAGAGACGCCTGCAGCAGAACAACAGCAAAAGAAATAGGCCAACACACGATATGCTGCGCCAGCAACGACAACACAAACAGCTGCAGCAGCTGCAGCAGCTGCAGCCAATCAGCAGAAGCGCAGCAGGAAAACAGCAGCGGCGAAAACAGCAGCACAAGCAGCAGCAGCACAAGCAGCAGCAACAATGGCAGCAGGAGCACAAGTAGCAGATGCAGCAGCAGCAGCGCTGTGTATACCTCCTTGCGCAGCACAGGTGTGCTGCATCCCGCGTCTCTAAATCTGCAAAAGATAAGAACAGTCGGGCAAGAGACTTCGTGCTGCTCCACTTCAGCCAGGGGCCCCTCTACTGAGCAGCCCCCCTCATAACCCAGACAGCGAACGCGCAGTGCGCGGGCCTGCATGCAAAGACAAAGGAGAGAAAAGGATACAGAAATAACAGCGGAGACGGCAGAAGAGACAGAGCCAGGAGGAGACAGAATGGCAATAAAGGAAATTGCATTCGAGAAAACGGAGACTGCAACAAAAAAACAGAGACAAAAGGAGACAGACTGGTACGAAGAGAGACTGCAACAGACAGCAATAAGGGACAGCAGCAACCAGCGGGCAAAGCAGCGGGAAAATGAAAGCGCAAGAGAGAGCTCCAGCACGGAGACAGAAACAACGGACAACGGGCAGAGACAGCAGGAGACACCAGGAGACAGCAAACAAAGGCAGCAGCAGACGGAGACAGGAGGAAGCACAAGACACGAACCAGAGGAAGCAGAGACGGAGACAAAAGGAGACAGTAGCCAAAGATACAAAAATGCAGCAGCCAGCAGATGCAGGCAGGCGTATAGAAAGAAAGAGAACATACAAACAAGCATATCGGCACAGCGCTGATCCTTCAGGTCGTTGCTGCTGCAGTGCACTGCTGCTGCAGCTCCCGCTTGCTGCCGTTGCAGAGCTGCACCAGCAAAGCACAGCAGCCCACCTACCCTTGCATATTTTTCTCCTGAGACGGTGCTAATTCCAAGTCCTGCATTTGCAGATCTGCAGAGGGGACAGGCAGTTGACTGCTGATGAATAATACGGGTGGTGATGTGGCTGTAGAGACAGTGCAGACAAAACGAATGGCCGCAGCGCGTGCTGCAGTTTGCTGCTCCGTCGTAACAAATGGGGCACCGCAGATCTTCAGGCACTTCTTCAATGAAGGTACGCCGCACTGGAACCAAGGTCCCCAGAAAACCCGAAGGAATCGTTGCTGATTCATCGCCAACCGGTGCTGCTGCTGATCCTGCGCCTCCTCCTGCTGCCGTTGCTGCTGCGCCTGGCGCTGCTGTGCCAGAGGCTGATGAACGCTCGAACCCTGCAGATGCAGCGGGAGCAGTGCCGGTGCCCGCCATTGCGGCTGCCCTCGGCTGCTGCTGCTGCGCCCGCTGCTGCTGCTGCTGGGTTCGCTGCTGCTGCGTACGCTGCAGCACGGGGTACTAGTCCCGCTGCTGCCCCGGTTGCAGCTGCTGCGTGCGTCGTTGTTCACCCTGCAGGTGTGCTGACGGTAACAGTAGACCCGCTGCTGCTGTCGGTGTCGGTGCTGTGGCCTACGCACCGCTGGAACGCAGCTTGTCTGCTAATGTGTGCTGGTTTCTGGGGTTGCACAGGAGACCAGAAGCGACGAATAAGAGAAAACAAGGGAATGAGAAGGCTCCTTGGTTTTACAGTGGGGTCCTGAGGCCTCCTGGGCTGGTGGGTGCTGTACCTACACCGCAGGAACAACTGCTCGTGTTGCAGCTGCTGCTGTTGGTGCTGTGTGTGCAGCAAACTGCTCAAATAACTCCTTGACTATACTTCTTTATTGTTCTTAATTATAGTTAATTGAATTTAAACATAAAAGGAGAGGTAGGGGACTCGGAGTAGGCAACAAGAAGTGGGGGGTTGTTAACAACCCCCACCTGCTGTCCTACTGCTGCTGCTACTGCTGTTGCTGCTGCTGCTGTTATTGTTGTCTTAATGTGCCTGTTTTATAGAAATAAGCACTGCTATCACTTTTAATGCTTTAATGAATTTGTTTGTTGATTCGTCTTCAGACAACTCACGTAACAGCAGCAATAAACGTCGCTGTTCTACAGTGCATTTGACCGTAAGCTGTCTGTCTTCAGTATTTTTGCCGGACATTTCAATAGTGCAATTACTATTATTATTTTATTGCTATATTTATTATTTAGTTGCTGTTCTTATTATTTTTATAGTCCTTCATATCATTATTTTTACTGTCTTTTATGTCATTTTTCTATTGTCTTTAGCGCCTTCGTCATCATTCTTGTCTCTAGCATTTTACTTTCAATAGGCTTTTGTTGTATTAGCAAGAGTAGCCAGGGTTGTATTATTACTACTGCAATCATTATTCTTTATTTATTTGTTGTAATTATTATTAGACTTTCTTATTTTGCATTGCTATTTCTATTACTATCTTTGATATTTAATGACTATTGTTGCTATAATTCTCTGCACGTTATTATTCTTCTGATTACTTTCAGTACGAACTTACTGCCAACTTTATTATAATAATTTACTTCAAACTATCTTTAGTGATTCTTGCCATTATTATTATTATATGCTTCTAATTGCTTTTAGTAGTTACTTGTTGCCATTAATATTTATACTATATACTCTAGTCGTTTTTACCATTTGCTTATTGCCATTATTATTATAGTAATTATGATTGACTTTATCAGTTAGTCATATTTTATTATTACACTCATTCTATCTAGTGCTAGTGTCATTAGGATATTGCGCCTTAAGCCCAGAAAAAGGTATTTGTTACTACCTACTGTACAGGCCCCCAGAAGACACCACCAAAACGGAGTACCTCCGTCCTAATAAAGCCTAAGCATATTGAAAAAAAAACCATAATTGCGAACAGAAGAGCCCTTGAGGCCTTTTTCAGCCTCAGCATGAAACGAGCAGAGACCAGAGTATCATCCTAGCGAGTAAACTCTGAGTTCTGCTGCAGTATTGACAAATGCAGCTTAATGCCCTTCTCCGGTTGGGTCCTTACTTAGCGAATATTGTTCTTTTTGTTTGTGCTTTGTGGGTATATATACGGAGCAGCAAACCGCTGCAGACTTGCTCCGTAGCGCCTTCGCCACTTTGTTTGGCTAACTTCATTACCATATCAATTATTTTAAGTCCTTTCTTCTGCTCGGGGGAGGGGGGGTGTTGTCTGTAAAAAGAGGAGAGAGAGATATAGAGGGCTGGCAGAAAGCACTCAAAGCGAAAGACAAATCCCAGAAACGCACCCGTCCCTGCAGCAGCAGCAATAGGAACAAGTAACAGCAGCAGTAGCAGCAGTATTAATGGCAACAGTAGGACCACCAGCGAGACAACCATAGCCGCAATACAAGCAGCGGACAAGGAAGCTGCGGCTACTCCTGCCTCTAGGCTGCTGGTGCAGCTTAGAGGGTGCAGGCAGCTCTGGGAAATGAGGGAGGGAGAGAAACAGCAGCAACAGCAGAAATTGCAGCAGCAGAAACTGCAGCACCAACAGCAGAAGCAGGAAAATAATCGAAGCAGTTGGGTGTACCACTCCTCTGCTGCAGTGAGGAATGCCCTGTGGTCTTCCACCGTTGCCGCTACTGCTGCTGCTGCTGCTGCTGCCGCCTGTGCTTCGCAATGGTTTTGTTCGTTTTGTTCTGTTCTATGTTGAATCATCTTTCTAGTTTGAGCTGCTGCATTAGCCGCAGAAGAACAATCTGATAATGCTGGCCTTGGCCAGCATGCGGCACCCAACTCTAAACCATGGAAACAACAAAAATGCAGCAGAGTTCTGTTAAGACTGGCTGCATTTGCTAGTACGCTTTAAGCTCTGCATACGCCCCAAACGCATGCACTGTAAACGAAAACACTGCAGGACTTCGTACGGTGTCTGTACACCCCAAAAGAGCCCCGTGGCGCTCCGTGCTTTGTGGAGCAGCAGAAGACAAGGAGCACCGTTGCTGCTGCCGCGGCAACTGCATTGCTTCAGCAGCAGGTGCACTGCTGCTGCAGCACCAGCCGTAGCACCGGTATGCAGCAGCAACAGCAGCAGCCGCAGCAGCAACAACGGCTGCCATATAGATTAACAGCAGTCATCTAGTTGGGGAGTCCTCATGGTCGTAAGGAAGCTCTTCTTGCCGATAAGGCCCACCAGGACACCGCAGCGGGAGAGCAAACAAACCCTTTACACAACGCAGCATTAGCAGCAGCAGCACACACACAATAGCTCAAGTAGCGATACAATTAGCTGCATGACCAGCAGTAGCAGCACCAGCAGCTGCTGCTGCTGCTGTCCTAATAGGACGCGTAGCAGCAGCAACAGCGCCAGCAGCAACAGCAGCAGCACCAACACCGGCTCCGTACTCGCACTGCAGCAAGCCGAATAGCCGATAGACTTGCAGGAGAGGAGTGTGAGGCGGCAGCTGCAGCACCTCTTCATCCACAAGCAACGAGAGGTCAATGTACACCTGGACGCCCGCAGCAGTGCCTTGCCCTGCTGCTGCTGCTGCTGCAGCTACAGCTGCATCTTCTCCTGCATCAGTTCCTGTTGCTGTTGTGGCGCAGTCTGTTGGATGTGAGACGGCCGTCAGCCGCTGCATCTCCACGGCAGCAGAAGAAGGATACGGGCTGCTGCCTCCTGTTGCAGATGCCCCCCTCCCCTTTTCTGGTGCTGCCGCTGCTGCCGGTGCTGGTGCAGGTGCTGGGGTTTGCAGACGTCCGTCTGGTGCCAAATGCAGGAGTGGGAGGGACTGAAGAAGAGCGCCATCTTCATCAAGCACGAGGAGACATACAGCAGACCTAACAGCCCTCTCCCGCTGCTGCAGCTGCTGCTGCTGCGGTGCTGCAACAGCTGCTGCTGACGACCGGAAGGCATGGAAGGAGACAAGCGTGTGGGCGTGGACCAGAGGGTGCTGAAGCTCCAGCAGCTGCTGCAGCAGCAACCGCAGCTGCCACGCATGCACGTAGCCACAGAGACGCCTGCTGCTGCGCGAGAGAACAACTGGAAACCCGTGGAAGGCGCAGCTGTAGGCAACACACACCCAGCCACTGCTGCTGCTAGTGTTGCTGCTGTTGTTGGTGGTGCTAGTGCTGCTGTTGCTGCTCCTGAAGATTGTGATCGGTGCAGTGTTGGGGCGCTTGGATTGCGGCTACTGAGACGCATCCCCAAATTGGCTGAGCGCACTATCCTGGTGCCTGTACTGGAATTAAGATTTAGGGTTTGAGGTTTGTTTCACTTGTCTGCAAGGGCCTTTAGCCCGGCTACAGTCGGGGTCTCCTCTACAGACAAAACCTGCAGGTCCCTCTTCATGGCTTCCGCCGCAGTCAGACCATCGAAACACACCTGCGAGTCAGGTGTACATCCGCACCAAAAAAGCACAAACAACAATAGCCACAAGAAGAGCCCCAGCAGCAACTAGCAGCAACTAGTGCAGCGCAAACTGCAGCGGGCTCGCCGCCCGCAGCAGCAGCAGAAGCACCAGCAGCAGCAGTCATCAGCAGGAGCATAAGCAGAACGAGCAGCAGCATGAACAGAAAAAGCCGGACAGGCAGCAGGAGGAGCAGCAGCAGCAGCAGCCGGCCCCGCAGCACTAGCAACCGGTGGAGTAGTAGGAAGCAACAGCTCTCTCTCTCTCTGCCCCTGTCTCTGTCTGTGTCTCTGCCTGTCTCAATCCCGTCTCTGTCTGTCTCTGTCCCTCTGTCTCTGTCTGCCTCTCTCTGTATCTGCCTCTCTATGCCTGTCTCTCTTTGTCTGTGTCTGTCTGTTTGCTTCTCTCTGTCTCCTCCTCTGTCTCCCTCTCTGTCTCTGTCTCTCTCTCTCTCTCTCTCTCTCTCTCTCTCTCTCTCTCTCTCTCTCTCT